TCCTGACGCACCCAAAGCCCCCTGCCACCGCCATCCTGTCACCCATCACCCTGTGTGTGTCCCCTCACAACCACGAGGCACCCTAGGGCAGACAGACATCTTGTGCAAACCTTGACAGAGAGAGAGAGAAACAGAGAGATCTCTGACAGCCCAAGCAGCCCCCTGGTCCCCCCAGCAGGGACAGGGCAGGCAGACCCCAGCTGGACAGAGCCAAATTATTCCAAAGCTGAGCTGAGAGTTTGCAGGAGAGCTGGTTTGCCTGGAGACAGAAACCAGAGCATGGGTCATAAATTGAACTCCACCTTCCCTCTGCCACCTGCGCCGTGCTTGGTGCCACGGGCTGGCCCTGCCCCAGCTTGTGCCCCAAGCTGAGGGTCACCCCCAGGCTCAGCAGCTGGAGCCCCCCAGTCTCTCTGTCTCTGTCACAGTTCCTCACAAATTCAATGGCACAATGCAGCTACACTATTTGAAAAGCCATAATATTTGTTGGTACGACTCTTTTATTACTGTCAATTTATATATATATATTTGTTGATAAAAGAGGTCATCTTGGGAGACACTTCCAGTCTACTGGGAAATAATTGTCCGATGCTGTATATTCTGTACATGCTGTATAAACAAAGCAAAATATGTAAATCTCAACGTTTGGTGGACTCGGTGCTGCAGGGGCAGAGTGGCACCAGGCAAGGCCCCTTCTGGGGCACCAGGGCCGGGGCTGGGGGCTCCCAGCAGTGTCCCCGTCCTGCTGGGCCCTGGCACGGCCTGGGGCAGGGGCTGCCCTGCGGCTCCCTCGGTGCTTTCCCTGCACGAAGGTGGAAGGGGCGGCTTTGGGATTTGGGAGCGGGAGCAGCTGCACCTTCCCTCCCTCCTTCCTTCCCTCCCGGGGCACAGCCGGGCCCATCCGGAGCTCGGTGTCACCCAGCCCGCAGCCAGCACCCAGCAGGACATCCGTGAGCCTTGGGGGTCCCAGAGAGAGCTCGGTGTCACCCAGCTGCTCCCCAGCCCACAGCCAGCACCCAGCAGGACATCCGTGAGCCTTGGGGGTCCCAGGGAGACGATTCCCCGCGGGAAGGCAGAGACTGGCTCTGAGCATCCGGCTTCTCCAGCTCCTTCCCAGCCAAGCCAGCCGCCCTCCCCGGCGCGTTCTACAGCAGCCACGAGCTGTGACCTTCTAACCCGACACACGCTCCTAGGAAACCTGTTTCATATTTTCTGTGGTATCGGTCTACAACTTTTGAAATTATTGGACACAGTCGTGGTAGCCTAAAAGTTGTGCTGAGCTCATATATTTTTATATTTGTGGTGTTTTCCTATCAATAGAGAGTAGTGAACCCTATAGCTGAAAGTGAACTATTCAAAATAAATATATGACTGCAGAAAATATTTGTAAAAATAATTTATTTTAAATATTCTGCCAAAGATAGCTCTCTAATGATCTGTAAGATGTCGTTTCTCTCTTTTTGCTCTGAATGTCATTGTGAAAGAACCTTTCTCCCCATATCTTTTGAAGATTTTTTTTTTTTTGTATCTTTAAGGGCAAAGAAATATTCCAATGATTTTTTACTAGAGCAGTAAATAGAGTAGTAGGGAGGCACGAGACAACTCTGCAAAGGTGACAAACAGGATCCAGTAACAATCACTCTGAGAATCCGGTTTTTCCCATGGTTCCTCTGGCTGACAGATGGGGTTGGAAGCCTGGGACAGCTGTCCAGCAGGAAGACCTTGGCTGCTGCTGCTGCTGCTGCTGTGGCTGCTGTGTATCTTACCCAAAGGAGAGAAATCTCCTGAGAATCCCATCCCCAGGCTTGGGACATTTAGATCCCCTTGCATTCAGTCTTAGCCTCTCCATTATTTATGGGCATAATTTATTTATTATCCCTTAATAGGCCCTGTGGCACATAGGGAACCCTCCCCCAGAGCTTTGTGGGGCTTCAGCCCAAAGCCATTCCCTCCACACCCCTGCCAGCAGCCCTGAAGCCCTGGCACAGGGAATCCTGCTGGCATCCAGACCTGTCCCTTCCTCACGTGGGGACAGGGCAGGGGACACCCAGCCACCAGGGGACACTTTGGCAGGAGGATCCATCCCTGCAGGTATCCACTTAAACAGGGGGAAGTACAGCCTTTTACCATGGAGAAGCTGCCTAGATTAGCCTTTGAGAAATGACTATTTTTTTTATTATTATTGTAGAGAGAAATCTTTCCCTTTTCATTTCTCCCTTTTGAAATGACTTTTCAATACTAGGGAAAGCCTTCATTATCTTCTGTGATCCCCCAGGTCTGCTGCAGTGGAAATAAATCCTCAGCCATGTCTGTTAGGCTCCACCACTTCAAAGAGATTCTTGGCTCAGATTTTTCTCCCTTCTGAGCAGATTCACAATTTTTTAAATGTCTTGGTCATAAAGGTCTGGAGGAATTAATGGGCAAAAAAAAGAAATAAAAGCCCTGTTCCAGTGAATGTGTTTCCACAAGCGATTCAACTTTTGACTCCCCCAAGGTCAGGCACGTGTTTTATCGGGAAGGGAGGTGGGAAAAGCAGTTTCCAAGCCATAGGGTGTGGTGGGTGTGGAGGGAGGACTGCTGTCCATGGGTGGCACACTCTGCAGCGTGGGGAGCACTGCCAGGGAAGTGCCTGCGCCACAGGGAAGCAGAGCGAGCCAGGGAAGACAATGGTGAGAAGAATTGGGTTTCTGATCACTGTGCATTTTGTTAATTAGTGAATTCAAATAGTTTTATTTTTACCAAAAACAGATAATCTTTATTCCAGTAAAGACAACTGTTGACTTGAGATATATATAAATATATATATATATATTATTTGAATGGTTTATATCCTGTTGCTCTAACTACATAAAATGGAAACATGTTGCAAGTTGTGTCATTTCAATATACAAAATAAATGACTTTTCCCTGCATGCTGCCTGGGTATGTTGTGATTTGAATTAAGAGTTATATTTGAATTGCCTTATTCAAGAGGTTGTATGTTACCTAACTGGGGAATGACCTGGCACTGTTCATCACATTACACGTGTACTTGATGCTGTGTTATGTCAAATTCAGATGAGTTGTCTGTCATCTATGTATTTCGTGGGAGATCTTTTATCTTGTTAAACTGTGATATGTAAACCTTCATTGCCTGAAATAGTCACAGTTGTATAAATCAGTGTCTTCAGCTGTTTTCCTAATTTTAACACAATTCCTAACACAAAATATAGATGTTTGTAAATTCTTCATTCATTTGGTCTATTTTTATGTATGAGGCTTCTTTAATCTGGCAAAGCAATAAGATAAGGCAGCTTTCCCGGAATTTTTCAATCAAGGCTCAGCTACATTTCTATCCCTCGGCAAGAGGCAACAACCAATTTTCAGCAGGGACAATTGGCATTGGGGATGTCTGTTTATTGCTATTATCTCTCCTGGCTCGGACGGGCCATTATCAGAGCAGACCGCGATGATGAATGACGAGCCAGACGTGCGGCTCCTGCAGTGACAGCGCTCGGGGGACCCCGGGGGCTCCGCAGCTCCTTCCTCAGCCCCGCGGCCCCTCCCTCAGCCCCACACCGCCTCCCTGGGCCCACAGCCCCTTCCTCAGCCCCGCGGCGCCTCCCTCAGCCCACAGCGCCTCATTCAGCCCACAGCACCTTCCTCAGGCCCGCAGCGCCTCCCTCAGCCCCGCAGCGCCTCCCTGGGCCCACAACCCCTCCCTCAGCCCCGCGGCGCCTCCCTCAGCCCCGCAGCTCCTTCCTCAGCCGGGCAGCGCCTCCCTCAGCCCCACAGCGCCTCCCTGGGCCCACAGCCCCTTCCTCAGCCCCGCGGCGCCTTCCTCAGCCCCGCAGCTCCTTCCTCAGCCGGGCAGCGCCTCCCTCAGCCGGGCAGCGCCTCCCTCAGCCCACAGCACCTCCCTCAGCCCCACAGCACCTCCCTCAGCCCCGCAGCGCCTCCCTGGGCCCACAGCGCCTCCCTCAGTCCCGCGGCACCTCCCTCAGCCCCGCAGCGCCTCCCTCAGCCCCGCAGCGCCTCCCTCAGCCCCCAGCGCCTCCCTCAGCCCCGCAGCTCCGCGGGCCCCGGGCTGGGAGGGAGGATGGGGAGGGGAGGGGAGGGGTCCCTGCAGACAGGAAAGAGCTCGGCTCACAGAGCAGACCCCCAGGAGCCCACCTCCAACTGGCAGACCACTGGAGCGTTTCTGGACAATTCCATGCGTAAAACCCCCAGTAGAGCAGTGGTTGGGATGATTAAAACACTCTGGCCGGAGTCAGTCGCGGTCCCTGCTCAGCTGTGCGGGTGCCACACTCTCCTGAGCAGAAGCAGCAGAGGTGGCTCGGGCACACGAAACCAGGCGTCTCAGCCGTGGTGTGAGCCCCACCGTGCTCTCCCCACTCTTCCAGCCCGGACCGCAGTTGTATAGGAAACGCTGCTCGCTTTTTATGTCAGTAACCATAAGAAACACATGGCCAGAGAAAGAAATTCCTGGAGCAGAACAAGCTGTGGTGGTCCTGGGTTATTGAAAATCTATCCAGGGCTCCGAGTGCTAAAAAAAATTCCCATCCCAATCACAAGAGTATCTATCTCTTTTTTCTTTTTCTCCCATTACTTTTGGCATGCTCCGGGTGGGAAGGCTGTCAAAAGGGAAAAATGTGCTGGGAATGGCTGGGAGAGCATGCGGAGGAGGCTGCCAGAGGCAGCGCGATGCGGCAGCCAGCGAACTGCCCAGAGGAGCGGGAGAAACAGGCTTGCTAGAGGCGAGTGTGCGGTAGAAATTCCAGTTTTTGCTCCAGCCCCTGGGGGCTCTCAGCGTGACCCCAAGAGTGTCACGGCGGTCGCCGAGAGCCCCAGCGGCGCCACCGCGCCCGCCGAGAGCGGCGCACGCAAATCTCGGGGGCGGGGCCCGGGAGGCGTGGGCCCGCCTCTAAGCCCCGCCCTTCGCATCCCATTGGCCGCCGTCGGCCCCGCCCCTGCCGCCATTGGCTGGTGCGCGGGCGGGTTTCCCGCGCGCGCGGCCGGGCGCGATGGCGGCGGAGCGGGGCATGGAGCTGGTGCGGGAGCTGCACCGCGCCGCCGGCGGGCACCTGCCGCCCTTCCGGGTGAGCACCGGGAACACCGGGAACACCGGGCGGGCCCCGCCGGCGGGCACCTCCCGCCCCTCCGGGTGAGCCCCGGGAGCACCGGGCGGGCGCCGCCGGCGGCCCGCGCTCACTGGCTGTGCCGCTGTTGCAGACGGAGGAGCTGCGGCAGGCGCTGGAGGAGATGCGGGCGCTGTACGAGCGGAACCAGGCGGATGTGTGAGTTGGGCGCCGCTCCCGGCGCGTCCCGCACAGCACAGCACGGGCGGCGCTCCCCGGCCCGCAGCTCTGCTCCTACTCCTCTTTATCCTCCCCCTCATCCCCCAGGTCCGAAGCGAAGGCGGGACGGACGGACCTGATTTTCCTCATCCGGTTCCGGCACTGCTGCTTGCTCCGGAACCAGCGCTGTCTCCTGGCCTACCTGTGAGTCCCCTGGGCTCATCCCTGCCGGCACAGCGTCCCCAGGGACAGGGTGGCGGGACTCTCGGGCCGGGCAGGTGGCTTCTCCCCGAGCAGCAAGGCAGCTCTGGAGCTGGTTCTCCTTGTGTTCGTTGCTGGTATCAGCGCAAAGAGAAGGCTCTGCTTCCTCCTGCTCTTTGAAAGTTTAGATTACTGGATGCCACTGTGGCTTGGGGATGTTGCCAGCGCTCACCTCAGCAGAAGTGTTGGGTTTGCCCCATTTCTTTCCCCAGGTATGACCGGCTGCTACGGATCCGAGCACTGAGGTGGGAGTATGGCAGCGTTCTGCCCAACACCATCCAGTTCCACATGTCAGCTGAGGAAGTGAGTCAGCCTCATTTCAAACTTTTCCCCCCTTCCCACATATTCCTCCTGATGGATTATTTAGTACAATCAAAATAGGGTAGCCTTCCCCCCACTATAAACATGACATTTAACATGTCTTTCTGTAAATTCTTACTCGTGTGTATTCATTGTCTGTGGGTACAACCCTGTTCATGCCCACAGGTGGAGTGGTTCAATCGGTACAAAAAGTCTCTGGCTACCTACATGAGGTCAGTAGGAGGAGAGGAGGGGCTGGACCTCACACAGGACATCAAACCTCCTAAAAGCCTGTACATTGAAGTAAGTGCAAGATTTCTGGCTTCTATCCATGAATAAACATTTCCATGACTATCTCTTTCTAAGCGTTTCATCCCCATCCCAAATCAGTTCATCAAGCAAGACCTTTCAGAGTCCCAAAGCTTTCACAGGTTTCTGTGTTTTACTCTGCCTGCCAGCATTTTACTCCTTCTACTGAGAGCACAAAGCATGTTGAGAGATGGCACTTCTGGTTTGCAGGGAGATGTGGTGGGGCAAGTTATCCAGTAGGAGGTTTTTGCAGCAACTTTAACTAGACCAGCTAGAAAGCATGTTCCCATGCCAAGGACTGTCACTCGAGGGGATGGTTGGTGTTTTTCATTGGACTCTGTCAGAGCCGTGTTCCCACTTTGCAGGTGAGGTGTTTAAGAGACCATGGGGAGTTTGAGATCGATGACGGCACTACCATCCTGTTGAAGAAGAACAGCCAGGTACCTGTGGCAGGGGTGTGGTCTGTTCTCTTCCTTCCCTTTCACTCCCATGACATCCCCCTGGCCTTGCAGCATGTCCCAGTCCCTGCACACACAGCTCCTTGTGTTGTCTGCATGGTCCAGAGTGCAGCTCTGCCCAATCTGGTACCTTGAGGCACTGGATGTACAGCACAACAAACAGAGCTGGTTGTGTGCAGCAACAAATCCAACAAATCCATGGAGGCTTTTTCTGTGTTTCTGTGCAGCACTTTTTACCCCGCTGGAAATGTGAGCAGCTGATCAGACAAGGAATCCTGGAGCACGTTCTGTCCTAAGTGTGCAGGACAGGAGGGACAGCTCTTGGTGACCTGCCCACGATGGGGACTGAGCTCTGGTGTGTGCAGGACTTCAGAGACCTCAGTATTTCTGCAGTGGCACCCTGCCACTCCTCCTAACAGCCTTTGGTGCCTTAAAACCACAGCTCTTCACGAGCAAAGGGTGCATGCTGGTAACACAGCAATCCTGGGAATCCAGGGTAGTGGGGGGCAGAATCCAAGCCCCACAGCTACACCCAGGGTTTGTGAATGCATTTTTGTTTGGAGTAGTTCTTTGTTCACACTGTGCATGTAAGACACCAACTGGCTGGGCTCTTGAAGCCAGGAAAACTCCTTGGTTGCAAAATAAAGAACTCCTTCAGTCTCTTGGGTTTTTAAGAGTTAATGTGGTGTTCATTCAGCACTGATCTGGCTCTCCAGCCAAACCCATCCTGACCCTGCAGTATCTCAGTGGAACTGCTCCTCCAAGTGTCAGATAAGGCTGCACAAGGTTCCTTCCAAGATTAGACATGAAGCCTTGTCCCCATCAGAGACCCATAAATGTTGTTTCCTGAGGTGCTGTGTGAATGATCATTGCAGTCTGGACTGTGGGCCTGGGTTTTTCCCAGTGTGCTTGGCCTGTGCCTCTGTTCCTGTGAAGAATCTCTTATCCCAGAGCACTGGTCTGGCTGGGCCTATGGGCTAGTTGGAGTAGGAATGGGAAGGGGAGCAGAGGGTTTTAAGGATTCTGGGTAGCACAAAACCAGAACAAGGCTGAAGAGTTGCTTTCCCTTTTCCTAGTGGAGCTGCTCAGCTCTTGCACTGTGTCTGGGAGAACACTTGCAAAAACATCAGCCCTAGGTGAGACTGGAGGTTTGCTTAGCCCCCATCTCAGGCTGAAGCTGAAAAAGCAAACAGCTGGGGAAGAAGGCAGGAACCGGATAAATGCCTGGGGCATTACAGCATTGCTCTGTCCTGCTCACTGCAGAGACAACAATCTGGTTGGGTTTGGATCCTAGGCTCAGGCTGTAGGAGGAGCTGTTGGCAATAAATGTTCAGCAGCAGTTGGGGAAGGTGACTGAAATACAGAGCAGACTGGGAATAGCAGGAGGTGCTGTAACATTACACATTTTTTAATGCCACAACTCAGCTTTCCTGCTTGGAGTGACCAAGCACAGGGTCCTTGCAAGCCTTTCTGCCCTGGCTTTTGAGATGTAACTGTGGCTCCAACATCAGCCTTCTGCAGAGAGGGAGCACCTGCACCACCACTAAACTGCCAAAGAAAATCCTGTGAGCTGGCTGCCCTGAGACAGACGTGACATAACAGCACACTGCCACTGGGAAAGGCACCAAGGCTGCTGCTTTCAGCTGGAAAATTCAGCTATCCACAAGACCAGTTTCCTCAAAGGACTCTAGGCTCCCCATCTGCTATTTTCTACACAGGAAAATCCTGGCAAGACCAGAGAGGACATGGCTGATTTCCCAACCCAGCCATATCTCCCGTTCTGCACCTGACCAGCCCCAGCCAGGAGCAGGGGCTGCCACTGCAGATGTTCCATCACCCACTCAGAGATGCTGGTGTGATTTTTGCAATAAGCTGCTTCAGAGCTGAGGCTTGTTCCTCCAACAGCTGGTTCTTCTCCTCCATGCTCTTCTGCTTCAGCTCAGCAGCCTGCAGGGCCATTGCAAACCTCCTGTTCTCTCCACGGAGCTCTTCAATCAACAGTTTGTTCCTGGAGAGTTGGGCCTAAAGCAGGGACAGGAGGCTTCAGGTTCAGCATCCCATGCAGGGGCAGCAGATGGGCAGGGACACAGCACCAGCCCCTCTGCACTCACCTGGGCATCTCTGAGCTGAGCTGCCCTCTCTGCCAGCACAGCTTCAGCACTCCTCAGACTCTGCTCCAGCCCCTCTGCCTGCTCCACAGCTGCCTGCAGCAGCTGCTCGTGTTCCTGCTGCAGAGGGAAACAAAGTCTGTGTGTGGGTTGTCCCAGCACTGTCCTGGCCTCTGGCAGCCCTGGGCTGTACATTACCCCAAGGCCCTGTTCATGGAGCCTCATGCTCCTTAGGCAGAGCAGGGGGTTTATCAGAGGGGCAGGATACAAAAAGCAGTGGGGCAGAGGTCTGGAGCAGTACAACCTTCCCTGGGTCTGCACCCAACCAGTTTAAGACAAGGCACAGATTTTCCAGCAGATTTTCTATAAAAAACAAGCCATTGGCCTCCCCTCTCCCAGCCCTATCCAGGAAAGCTCAGGGAGAGACAAAGACTCCTTGTGCCTGCTCATTATCATTCCTTAGGTTATCATTTGCCCTATCTTTGCCCAGACACAAACTCACAAAACCCCAACACCTGGTTGCTCAGTGCCCTGGAGATAAATCCACCTGTCTGAGTGCAGGCTGGTGACTGGAGGATTCATGAAGAATTAAAGTTGCAGCTGAATTTGAAGCTAAGTGCATTTTCCTTGTGGGTTCTTTGTATCTACCATCTTCCACCCAAACCTCTGGTGCCTCCAATCACAGCTGCCCTCCAGTGTTCCCTTCACAGTACCCCTGACTGAGCCCCTGCAATTCCCTGCTTACCTGGATCCTGACCAGCTGCCTGCATGTCTGCTCAGCCTGCAGCTGGAGGCTTTCCTGGAGCTGCTGAGTCTTGCACTGTTCCTCTCTCAGGGTGTTTTGCAGCTGCTCAAACTGCTTCTTTGGCACCATGTTGTTCATCTGGGCCTTGGCCTGCTGCAACTGCAGAGTGTGCTGGGCCTGGGCCAGGCTCAGGTTGGCTTTGGCTTCCAAAAGCTGTAACACACAAAGGTTGACAGCTGGTTACAGCTTTGAGCCCACAACAGGACAGGCCCAGGCTGTGTTTTGGGGGAGAGGAGAGGTCAGACAGTGCCCTCAGCCCTCACCCCAGCACAGGCACAGCAGAGCTGCAGCACCATGGCAGTGGTGCTCAGTGGGCAGCCTGCAAAGCAAGGGAGTGAGAGCACTGAGAGCTGCAGGAGGAGACACAGAGAGCCCTTGCTGAGAGATGCTCCCCTTGCTGAGTAGTGAGGAGCAGGAGGATTCTCTGGGAGGGAGTCCCAGGACCAAGGGCCATAAGAGCAAGAGACAGAGAGGGCTGCTCACTTGGGTTCTTGGATACATCCCAGGCTAGCTGTGATGTACTAAATGTCCTGTTCTACATGTCCTCTGCTTCCTGTCACCAGCAAAGGGCAAAACTGGTAATGGGAAGCAGGTCTGGTCCAACTTTGGGATGGCTGGCATGGGTAAGCTGTTCTGTGGAAAGCCAGTCCCCAGGGCAGAATGCAGGAGAGGAATATTAACACATTGGAAGGTTTCTCACATTGGCTTTCCTCCCTCTGTCCTGGTGATCCACATTGCTCTGCTCTGACCACCTCATTTCCCATCCCTCACGAAGCCCTGCCTGGCTGCTGTCATCCCTTCCCAATCCTTATCCCATTCTGCCACTGCTCCAGCTCCTCTGTCAGCTGAGCCATGGGGAACCCCAGCTCCTGGCACCCCTATGGGAGCCACCTCCCCTCTGGCCAGCCAGCCTGCACAGGACAAGGACTGGGGGGTATCATAGGGACAAGCCAGCAGGGACCTCCCCCCAGCTGCACCTGAACTGGCTTCAGCCATAGCTGAGCAGGAGGGAGAATCCTTTGTCTCCCACAAAGAGGAAGAGGATGACTTTTTCCTGAAAAGTTGGACACTCTCCCTTCTGAGGAAGGTGTCCAGCACAGCTCCAGGCAGGACAAAACCAACATCACAGAGCCCATCACCAGCCAGCCACTGAATGAAGGACACTCACCTTTTCCTGTGAGGCCTGGAGCTGCTGTTGGAGTAGCTCCATCTCCATCCAGCACGCTGCATGCCTCTGGTGGTGCTCCAGCCTGGCAGCAATCTCTGCCCCTCGCAGCCACTCAGCCTCCAGAGGGCTCTGGCTGTGCAGCTGGGCAGTGCCAGGGCCAGCACTGTCACCAGCCTTGTGCTCAGGGGCCTCACAGCCCAGCTGAGGCCTCTTGACATCCTGGTGAGAGAGCCCCTCCTTGCCCTCATCACTCTGGAAAAGATGGAGAAAAGAAACAACAAATCATGCACAGGAGGCTTGGGGTGGGAACACAGGCAACAAAGAGTGACTGAGCCATGTGGGTGTGAGATTGGGAGGGAGAGAAAGCTCAGGGAGAAAGAGTGAAAGTAGTGAAAGTCATTAAAGACTTTCCCCTTCTGTAAGGCTTTCAATGTCACACAAGTTTTCACTGCTTTACAAGTTATAAGACAAAGCTGGTTCTTCAAAGGAAGACTGGGTTTGAATGTTTGAAACAAACATTTTTGCTCTCCTCTATGAACTTGTGCAGTTTTTGACCTTCTAAATCCTTCAGCCAAGAGCCTGCCAGTTGGGGTTAATGGTTCCTTACCAATGCTGTTAACTCTGCTATTTCAGCCAGCTCCTCCAACCTCTCTCTATCCAACTCAGTCCCATTTTTCCTGCTGGGAAGAGGGATAGGATCAGCCTCAGACCAGAGAGCAGCAAAGCACAGCCCTCAGAGGAGAGCCCTGCTTTGGGTAGTCCCACATTTGGTTTTGGCCTGCAAGAGGAAGCAAAGCCAAGCCAAAACAGATAAGGCCCTGAATTGATGCAGGAGTGAGTCAGGTGCCTCTGCCCCAGCAGGTGACACAGCTCAGCCCAAAGTCCTACAAAGCTGTCAGAGACCTAAAACCAAGGAATGAAGAACAATGGGAGGGACAGTTTAGCAGAGTGGGATCATCCACACCAGAAACCTGTCTCTCCCCAGATTTATGGCTCAGTGGGTCACCCCAGTACCTATCTAAAGCTTCCTAAGGAAGAAATCCATCCCATGTTAACTCTTCAGCAAGCTGTTCTCCAGCAGCCAACACAAGAGAGGCAGCAGAGTGAGAAAACCATGCACAAGCACCATTTGGGGCTGGCATTCTGTGCTGGCTCCCTGATCTTTTCCAATTTGGTTTGCAATGACAGCTAAGGACCAAGGAAAACTCAGAAAAAAACCTTCCCATAACTTAGGCAAAACATGTGGGGACAAGCAAGAGACAAGAGCAGGGAAGGAGCATGTCTCCAAGGGAAGGAAAATAAAGAGGAAAAAGGACAAAGAGCATCAGACTGAATTGATGTGGCTTCCAGCTGGCTAAAATGATTTGGCAGTCTTGTGGATACAAAGTGATTTGACTCATCCAGACGTACCAAGACTTCATTACAGGGTGACAGGTGGTCAGGCCAACCCCTCAACTGCAATAAAGCCAGGTCTGGAGAAATCAGCTTCTTTGTGAGGCCTCTGTGATTTCACAGGGCTGGACACAAAGCTGGGACCCCAAATCCAAGCTGGTCTCATTATCCTTGCACTTCTGTGGATACTCCCAGTCTCCCAGTTGGCCATGAATACTGGCACTTGTGGGAATGAAGCTTAGTCCTGTGTTGGACAGTCCTTCCAACAACTGCTGCTAAACACCAGAGCCATACAGGACCCAAATCCCTCAGGAGAAGGTGCAGGACAACAGACCATCCATCCTGGCAGGGAGGACAGCACTGCAGTTTGTGGCACGCAGAGGATCTGTGTGAGGAAGTCCTTCCTCTCTCCTTGAAGCACAAGGACCAGTCCACGGGCTATGTGGTGTTTGCTCACCTCAGTGCAGCTGCTTTTGGGAATTTGACATTGGATTCACATGCTGTGCTTCCTGTGGCATCTCCAGCATCCATGTCCAAGGCAGAAGAGGTGAGTGTGCAGTCAGCCATGGCCACAGGAGCACATCCCAGCTCCCTGACCACACTCCCACAGCCAGTAAAAGACATAATATAGCCATGTCTATGTGTGCTCAGTCATATTTATTAATTGGAAGTATCCTAGTTCATAGCCCACTTCATGAGAGCAGGAGAAGAAAGCTGCTGCTGGAACATCCAAGAGAACATAGCTGCTGTTACAGTGTTCAGCAGCCTTGTGTCTCACAAAGCATCTGCTTTTTCTTTGCAGCAGCATGTTAGATCTTCAAACTACCTTTGCACTCAAACCTGACACTCTCTTGAGCTCTGGGTTCATTTTCCAAGTAGTGCATGACATCTTTGAGCTGCATCAGCTCCAGTTTCAACCTGTTCCTCTTCAGCTCTGTATTGACAGCCTTAATGCCAGGTTTCCTCCTATGCTGTTACACCTCTGTCTTCCAGAGCTTTTTTCCTTCTCTTCTTGCCCTGCAGGTCAGGTCTATGTTCTGAGATGTCTGCTGTTTGAAGGCATTTAACCCTGCCTCCTTCCCAAGCACATCCCCTTGTCTATCAAGATTCCATTTCTCCCTGACAAATGCTTTCCACTTTGCCTCCAGCTGCTAGACTGAGCAGGCCATTTGTTACAACAAACACCTGCACTGTTTGCACTGGTGTGTCCATCATACAATTGCTCATTTCTTCTCTGTTCCTTCAGTGTTGAAATTGCAACAGAAGATTTTGGTCTGCCTGCTCACCTGAGTCTTAGAGGATCAGCTCATTTTTCCCCAGAGGACAGCTCTCCAGACACCTTGTCCCTTCCAACAGCAAAGCCCTCAGCTTCACTCTCTCTGCATTACTCCCATTTCATCCTGGTGCCTTTTTAATCTTTTCATACCCAACAGCCAGCATTTCAAACATCTTGGCATTAACCTTTTCTTACAACTTGAGCTGCCTCTGCTTCCACAGAGACTTGGTCATTTTTCTTTGGCTTCCACTGCTGCCTCTCATGGGTGCCCTGCTGTTGAAGGCCTCACCTTGGAGCCTTTGTTGTTGGGAAATCACCTCCTCTCACACCAGTGCTGCTGCAATGAAGCCTTACAGCTGTCCTCATGCTGGCATTCACTCCATGGCAGCTCTTGCTATGTTCAGCCTCTGCATCTTTCCTAAAGATAAAAACCATTTTGCTGATCTGGGTTTGATATCACAGCTTGAAATGCTCAGCCAGCCTCTGAATGTACATTTCCTGGAGATGCAATACAAAGGGTTTTCTATGTTGCAAAGTTAAGGCAATTTGTTAAACTTCACAGAAAGTTCCCATACTTTTTGCCTTTCTCAAAGACACACAGCCAATCCCATCTTTTCCAGCAACTCTGAAAGCTCCCCACTGCAGTCAGTCCATCTGCCATTCACCACAGATAAAACAGCTTAAATGCCTTGTACTCCTGTTATTTGGGGTTGTTTCCCTGGTCTACCACAGACTTCAGCCAAATCCCCTCCCTACTCCCTCACCTACCCCACATCTCATCCCTAAAACAGTGACAATGACCTAGCAAAATCCCCTGCTGGCATATTGCCAAGGGGAGCACTGATCCTAAAGGGAGACACAGCAGGGCAGAGGCAGGAGGAAGGGAAGATAAAACAATTATTCAGTGACAACCTCTTTCTTTCACAAACCAGTCTCTTTTACCTATATGGAGAAACTGAAGACATTTTTTACTGCTTTTAAGATAGCAAGTTGTGATCATCTAGCAAGTAGAGACAGGTTTGCTGAAAGACCAAGAAAGAGGTAATAAAAAACACTAATGAAAGCTCTTTTATATCTCTCACTATTTTAAGATACAGTCTATGCTGGGCACTGCCTCTAACACAGCCTTGTAGAACATGCAGGGAAACTTAGAGTCCTGAAATAAAAGCACTCAGGTAAGGGGAGTTAGTCCCACTTCAAACAATTGCAGCCCTGCAATTCTGCCCAGATTTTCTTCCAAATTAAAGCAGTTCCCCAGCCCTGTGAAAAATCAGCCCAACCTACCCTGGTATGAGCAGGAGATGCACCCCTAATCTCCTCCTTAGCCCCAGAAAGAGAACAGTGCCAGACCCCAGGCTCACCCTGTCCCTGTGTTTTTATTTCTTCTCTGTCCTGGTCCAGCTGCTGCCCTGGGTGGCAAATGTCATCAGTGTGCTGCTGTCACCTGGTCTGCTCCATCTCAAACCTCTCCTCCAGCTCCAGGCTCTATTCCCATTTCTGCTCTTTCAGCCCATTAATTATAGCCCAGTACTTTGCACCTGTTTCTTCAACATCTCTTTCCTGGAATTCCATCTGGCACATCTCAGCCTGGAAACTTTCCTCAGTGTCCTTCCTCTCCCTCTCAAAGTTTTTCCACATAAACTATTATGAGGAAGAAATAGAGCTTATCTGTTGGAAGGAGATGGGATTGGGATATTAGCACCATGCTCCTGAGAGCTTTCCTCTCCTCCAATAGCTCCAATTCACATTGATCTATCGGTCCCACCCAACAGAGGACTCTCTGCAGGCAGTTCTGGTCCCTGCTGAACAAGCAGTCTCATGCAGCAGTGTCTAACAAGCAGAAACCAGTGGGTCTCACTTCTTTTCCTCTCAGGCTGCTGCCAGCAAGCAGCACAGTTCTGCCCATTCTCCTTGTCTGCAAGGAGCCCCAGAGAGGAGAGGGGAGAGGCCAGGGCATCATCTGCCATTGCTCCTCATATCCCTCCTCCACTGCAGAGTGGTTCCTGGTCAGGATGTGCTGGTGAGAAGCTGCTGCTCCCCACAACTCCCCTGTGAACACCAGAAACTCCAGGATTTGATGTGCACAAAGGCAGGACTATCAAGCAGGCAGAAGATCTGTAGGCAGCTTTGTGCTCCTTGAACTGTTCTGTCACCTGCAGGGCAGTTTAGGATTTTCTCTTGCAGTGCTGCAACACAAAACCCAGCAAGCATCACTGACCTCTCAGTTCAGCAGCAAAAGGAGTAAATGTGGAACTGAGGCCTGTCCCATGAGCATTCACAGCTGTCTGGAGAGGAGGCTGGGCTCACACTGCCACCTCAGAGAGGCAGGTTAGAAGTGTGCTGCAAGCCAAGGGTGACAGGGTCTGATACAGCCCCTACCATCAGGAGACACTTGGCTGCTTCTCCTCATGGTCCTGTCCCTGCTTTTACTGTGACAACACTGAGTGAGCTCTGGTTCCTCACAAGACCCACACAAACATTTCACAAGGTGACAGGGATTTTTTGCCAGCCAATGAGGCAAAGGCTGCAAACCCTCCTGCCAGCCAAGACAAGGTGGAGAAGCACATGAAATAACCCCACAGAGTGATGAGGCACCACCCTGGTCCCCAGCCTGAACTCTGTCTCCAGCAACCCTACTGGAGCAGATGTCTCATCAGTCACTCTGTGGCAGCTGTGCTCACCAAGCAGTCAGGACATCTCCCCCCACCCCACTCACCTTGGTGTCCAGCTGCACCTTCAGGTCCTGCAGCTGCTCTTGGAGCTGCTCCACTGGGAGTGACATTTCTGGAAACACAGAAGTAGAATAACAAGGCTTGGAGAGGGGTGTGATGGCAGAGAGCAGCCCTGTGAGGGGAGGCCTACAAGACAGGACTGATCAGGATGGCTGCAGCTTCATCCAGTCCATAAGGGGTTTGGGGGGTTGCATACAGCCCCAAAAGATGAACATTACTCATCTATCTGACAACTGGACCCAGGGCTGCATCACCCCTCTTGGCCAGGAGCTTTCATCTAATGCTCAACTTGAATTTTCCAACCCACAGTTTGGGGCTACTTCCTCCTTACTGCATTGTTTCCTCAGCATATTCAACACTGAGAATCTGCCAGTTCACAGGCTCCATCAGCAGTTCTCAAGTTGGAAAACCCTCCTTTCCTCCACCTCTCTCCTCCCCACCACCCATCCTCTCCTCCTTCCCTCCCACAGCTACCCAGTACCAGCACTGGCAGCAGTAGTTCAGGCACAACAAGCCTCCCCCCACTCCCATGCAGACTTGGAGGCAGAGGGAACTTTGTCATTGCTGAGAGGACAGGCACTGAGCCCTCCTGCCCGTTACCTGCTGCTGGCAGCCCTGCCTGAGCCCTGCTCTCCTGCAGCTGGAGGCGCAGCCCCTGCAGCTCCCTGCGCAGCGCTGCGTTCTGCTCGTGCAGCACCTGGAACAAACACTGCTCAGGACACAGCACAGAGCTCCTCCAAGCTCCTGCAGGGCCTCCCCCAGCCCCAGCACAGCCTTCCCAAACTAAGGGACACATTAGGGAATTTGGAGGAGCCAAAGAAGAAATATAAGCCCAGATTTCCGAGATCACCATCACTACACAGTGTAAAGCACAAAAGCACACAAAACCAGGGTTTGCCAACACCTCAGGGGGCTGGGCAGCCTGAAAGCCTCCTGAGACCCTGCTGACCTAAATAACCACTGTCAGAATCCAACACAGAAGAAACACCATGAACTCAGCACAGGCCCAGGGGTTTGTGTTTATACCCTCAAGACTCTCTTGTGGGCACAGGGGCTGGCCAACAAGCACTACTCTATGCAGAGAAGGCAGCCAGCAGGATTCACAGGGAAGCAAAGCCCACAGGCCTCTGGGAGGGAACTTTTCCAGGCTGCAGAAGGAATAAAGCAAGGGAAGAAGGTGCTGATCCCATGGGAAGCACAGCACAAGGCAGGCCCTGCTGGTCTCCTGGTGCCAGAGACAGCCCAAGGCCAGCACAGGAGTTTATCCCATCTCCTGAGCAGGGAGTCCCAGAGCTGAACACCAGGTAATGAGCCACCACAGCAGGGCAATGAGCCACTTCCATGGAGTGTCTGGAGATGGGCAGCTGCTTGCTCCACTTCACATCCTCTATCCTGTACAGCATACAAGGCATCCTGCCTTCTTCTGGACTGTTCACTTTGAGCAGACATCCAATCACATCCCATGTCCTGCCCCCAGGAAACTGATGTGCTGTGAGAGACTATGAACTAGGACACTTCCAGGTAACAAATATTACTGAGCAGATGTAGACAAATGCAAACCCAGTTTGCTTCATCTCCATTCTAAGCAGGAAAGGGGGGCTGAGAGCATTCCATGAGGGTAAAGGATAAACCCCAGTGGGTGCCTTCACAGGGGCAGGTGAAGCCTTAAGGTCAAACCTTTCCATCCATCAGCATTCTCATGGACAACTCTGGGGCTGCTCAACGAGAGGAAAAATTGCAGCACTGATCATATTCAACCCTCTGGTGCCACCTGGAGCAATGCTGCACTGGATAGTGCTTCAGAATGTTTGTCTTTAATTGCAGCTTGGAGAAGGGCTGCCTGATGCATCCACAGAATGGCTTTGCTGAAACCTGCATTTCAGCCCTTGCTGGGGGGATGTGACTGTCCCTGTCCCTGCTCAGGGGTGCTCCCCAGCCACACAGCACCTGGGAACAAACAGGCAACGTGACAAGCACAGGACTCAAACAACAGAGCACCCAGCACCAGTTAAAGATACACTAGTCAAAATGCAAGAGACACACGTTAAAAATGGGAGAAGGGAAACAGAGTTTGTGCTCATGCCTCAGAGAGCCCCAAGCTCTGCGAAGGAGCACAGCACCCTGCAGGAATTCCAATACACACAGCACCAATTCTTGGACCACACACACACACACCAGATATCTGGACTGGCTTACCTTGACTCTCTAGCAGAGTTCAGCAGCAACAAGATTTTTAGGGGTTTTTTAAAGTGGGGGCAAGAAGGAAAGGAAAAACAAAAAGAAGACTTTAGCTGTTAATATGGTCTCCAAATTAGGAGAACAGCTTTCTCCTCGTGCTCAAGAAGAAATCCAACAGAGCCCAGGGTCTGTCCTTACAACAGAGGTATATGGTTCCAACAAAATAGTCCATGGCTACAAGCAGAAAGGCATTTACGATCCACCCCTACTCTCTCCTGCCAAAATCGTAGCAAGGCAAACAACCCACGAGGGCTTCAGGAGTGAGGAGACAGCACTCTGAGCAAGGTAACAGGGATCCCTCTGCCCTATGACCAGGTCTGCCTCCTTGCCCTCCCTCAGGCCCAAGTGCTGCAGAGAGCAGGGCTGTGACACCGCAGCGCTGCCCGCACGTACCTGGCACTGCCGCTCGTACTCCAGGACAATCTCGGCAAAGCGCTCGTTCTGCTTCAGGAACTCGGGGCTCTGGGGCTCCCCCTGCCCCAGCTGCACAAAGAAACACTTCTCATCAGGAAAACCAGCTCCAAATGGAGAGTCAAAAGCTCTGCTAAATCCCTGGGGTCACGGGGCACACCCATACATTCAACAGAAGGCTCCCTAAGGGGCCCATCATCTGTGGGATGGGTCAGAAAAAGGAGGAAAAACAATTTTCTCCACATGTGAGACACCAAAGTACAGGCAAGCTTTCCTGGCTAACAAGATCACAGACTCACTTCTTTCCCCAGATTCATTTTAGGAGTGGAAGATACTAAAACAAGCCCTTTACTTCAATACTAGTGAAAAATAAAACTTCTCTGGAAACCGAACTCTGTAAGTTTACCCTTGAAGACTGCAGATTTGCAGAATTCTCTACAACTGGAAAATATCCTCATATAAATAAAAATAACCTCAAAAATAACCTTTTTTTTTTCTTTCCCAGCTTCCAGGTTGTCATTAAAGCACAGGAGAGCTCACACAGGGGGAGACCGTAGCAACTGACACAAAATATGCAAGATCAATTTTTTAATGAATTCCTGAAAAGTTCTTATTTGACTGCAACAGGGAAAGGTTACCTTATCCTTCACAATGTGGTTGAGTTCTTTTTGCAGCTCCAACACCATTTCCTCAGAGGCTGACAGTTTCTCAGCCATCTCTGTGACCTTGTTTTGTAGCTGTGTGTTCTCCTGCAGATCAAATGGAGATTTCCCTGCTGCAGTGGGTCCTGACATGGCAGGATGGGTTTATCAGCCACAGGTGCTCAGCAGGGAACTGTACAACAACTGGCACATCAGCAGGCCAAGCACAGCTCCCAGGAGGCCCTGGACATGGCCTGGTTTTAGCCAGGACAGATTTTTGCAGTAACCAGGAGGGGATGTGGCTAAAGTCCAGATGTTATTCTGAACCATCTCATTCATTGGGGACAGAGGGAAGGCACTCTCTCTCAATTCCAGGGAGAAGGAGATGCCTTCCAGAGAAAATGTGGCTGCCCTGCAATGAGCATTTGCAAATCACCCTCTCTTTTGTACACTTTTGTTAATACTGTTGCTGTCACTGGTTGTTTCTTATCTCACTGCTGTTTCCAGTAAATTGTTCTTATCTCAACCCAAGGTCTTTGCCTTTTGTGCCTCCCATTCTCCTCTCCAGCCACTGAAAAGTGGGGAGAGGGAGTGAGCAAGCAGCAGTGTGGTTTGGGGAGTCTTGATAGGAGAACTAAATTTGGAGCATCATTCGTAAACCACGACAGGAGAGCACACTGCTGATACCACATGGGCTCATCTCTCCACAGGACAGGGATGGGTTTTACACAGCAAGAGCAAGACAGCCCCACAGGATCAGCTCCACCTCAGCCCCCCAAAACTGTGGTTTCCCTCACAGTTAACAAAGGCAGCAAGTCCTGAGCTATCTCCATCTGTACTTCTACACTGACCAGAGCTGGGGTAATCCCAGGCATGCAGACTCCATCATCTCTGCCTTTGACATGGCCCCTGGCACAATTTCAGCTTTGGCCATTGTGTTTGCAGGTGTTACCAAGGGCCAAACCACTGCCAACAGACAGCACAGCAGTTTAGTGATGGCATGGCAAGGTAACAAGTTCTGTATTTAATACAACTGCATGGATGTGGCTGATGATTCTTCTCCATAAAATTCCTGTTCTTCCCAACAAGAGCAAAGTGAACCATCTATATTTGTCACCACCTCTGCTCTGCCACCTCTGAAAGAGCGAAGGTGTTTCATCCAAGGCAGTTGTACTTACACTCATCACATGGTTCAGTCTCCCTTGCAGGTTGGCCTCTTTGCCCTGGAGGAGCTGTGTAGCAGCCTCCAGCTTTGCCTGGTGACTCACTGCTTGCTGCAGAAGCAGCTCTTTTGCCTCTATTTCTGCTTGAAAATTCCTGGGGGAAAAAAGCAACATGGCTGGGACAGACAGAGCATGATCCTGGAGATGAGAGATTTGTTGGAAGGATGCTGAGATCATAGGGGTGGAGAGGGGTCTTCAAGGGCTTTCCTGCCACTGCCACATTGGCAAAACAAGGGGGAGATTCAAAAGGGATGTGTGAGCACATTTTCTGCACCCCACCAAAAGAACCCCTCCTACCTGAGCTTGCTCTGGGTGTGCTCAAGAGCCATGTACTGCTGATCCAGCTCCCTGCCCAGCTGCAGGCAGTGTCTCTCTGCCCTCTCCAAACTGAGCCTCGCCTTGTCCCTCTCCCTGGCGATGTGCCTCACCTGGCTCCTGCAGACACAGCGAGCAGGGCATGAGGCACCCCTGAGGCACCCACAGAGGGCCGTCACAGGCAGCAGAGCCCTTACCAGAGGCACTGCAGTTTGTAGCTGTAGGAGGTGCCAGCTGCAGGCTGGAGGCCGCTCCTGGGGACCATGAGGGCTGTCCCAAGCTGCAGGCAGCCCTGCCAGGCTCAGCTGCTGCTCGTGCTGCTGCTCCTCCTCTGCAAGAACAGCACAGACTGACAGCACCTCCTCCCTCTTCTAACAGCTCCAACAGCATTCCTGTTGTCACACCATGTGCCCACCCTCCAGTCTTTCAGGGATGCCCCCCCATCTCAGATAAGCCTGGATCACATCCACCCCCACGTTCCCCCAGCCCTGGGGTGACCAAACCCATCCTGAACCCGGCTGCAAGTGCTCCTCCCACCCCGGGCAGTTGCTCACTTCACCCACCAGCACCGATCCAGGCAGAACCAGGGACCCTGAGGATCTGCTCTGAGCTCTTCCAGGGCTCAGGTGGCAGTGACAAGTTGAGGCTTGGCAAATCCAGTGTCTTTGCTGAGGCTGGAGAAGTGATGCGGGCCCAGGTAGCTTGGCCAGAAGGACAGGCTGCTTCCCTGAGCGCTCCCCTCTGATGCTGAGGAAAAACAACAGGAGTAAGTCAGTGGGGCCAAACTGGCAGAAGAAAACTGATGGTTTTCAATATCAAAGGGAAACTTCAGAGACCAGATCAATACTGAGGAACATTTCAGAAACAACCCCAGGCTGCCAGGAGGGAGATGTCCTGAGCTGCCCTCATGGCAGCCACAAGAGCAGGTCTGCAGGCACAGACCATTCAGTCTGGTCTCCCTGCTGACCCATCAACACCCAGAGTCCACAGAAAGACCAGCACTGAAAACTGTATCACTTACAGGGTCTTGGGAACACTGTCAAACGGGGACTGACAGCCAACATTTTATTTGACCAAAGAGCAGAGCCCAGAAAGGTGATACAGAACTCAGAACATTTCCAAAAGCACCAATTTTTTACCAGGTTTGGAAGAAGCCTGTCTTCAGAGAGCTGTTACCTCAAAGTCTGAAGCCAAAAGAACGATTCTTGTTTCTTTTTTTTTTCTCTCAAGATCCTGGATTGAGCTGTCCTGGCTGTCAAGGCAAGCAGAGATTCACTTCCACCTTAGCACATTCACGTGGTGTTACTTCAAAAGCAAATGCCTTGCCAGTCCTTGGAACTGAATGCACTAAGGAGAAAGAAGTATTTTACATCAAACAAAAAAAAAAAAAACGTGGATGAAGCTTGTTCATGCACTAAAAAGAGGACAGTCTGTGCCACATGTGAGATGCAGAGACATCAGCACTTCTGAGATCAATATTAGAACTGGGGTGATGTTTTTCCTCTCCTAGGATGTGCATCCCTCTCCCTCCCATAAAAAGACCAGGCTCAACAGCCCCTTGTTGTTCTGCATTACAATCCCACACCACATAGGCAGGGATTGCTCACACTCAGGCAGTTCCCAAGGGAGCCTTTCAGCCACCATGCAGTGGCTGCACTACAGATCACATCTAAAAACTGTCTTGCAAGTGAAGAACCCTCCCTCAGATCACCACCCTCAGACACCTGAATCCTATGGAATCACCATGAAAGATTGTGAAAAGTATCTTGGCCTGAATTATTCTCAGTAAACCCTGATCTTCAGCCTCCTTTTTCTGGGTTTTTTTGGAATTTTTGGGGGTTTTTTGTTTGTTTGGGTTTTTTTGGGTTTTTTTTTTTTGTTGTTTTGTTTTGTTTTATTTTGTTTTTTGTTGGGGTGGCTTTTTTGTTTTGTTTTTTGTTGGGGTGGGTTTTTTTGTTTTGTTGGGGGGGACATGGGGAAATGGATAGAGTAACCTTTCTAAGGGTGTGATGTCTGCACTCGCGTCTGGACTCCCTACAGGATCCTTTTAAAACATCAAACACAAAGGAACTGTCCTGTGTAGGAGACTGGCAAGGACATAATTGCTCCTTGCCCAAGCTTAGTGGAAATCCCCTCATGGAGCTGCAGAATCAAGGCCATCAACCAGCATCGTTTTTACAAACCTCATCCCATGGAGTTGCTCAGTCTTGGCTGCTTAAGAGACACTGACATACCGTGGGAAACGGGGTTGTGCATCCGCGGGGACGGAGGCACTGCAGCGTCGGCTCGGCCCGGCCCGGCCCGGCCCGGCTCGGTTCGGCCCCGACACCCCGCGCATGCGCAGGCCGCGCGCACATCCCCGTCCAGCGCCCTGGATGCATTTCCCGGGTGAATCGGGAGGAGCAGCGGCAGGAGGCGGAGGGAGCTGATGCCGCCTTTTTACTCAGCTCCTTCTGCCGTGCTGTGCCCAGTTCTGGGCTCCTCAGAGCAGGAAAGGCAAGGAGCTCCTGGAGAGGCCCCAGTGGAGGGCGATGAGGTGATGACGGGACTGAGGAGAGGCTGAGGGGGCTGGGCCTGCTTAGTCTGGAGAGGAGAGGACTGAGCGGGGATCTTGTCTGTACATACAAATATCCCACAGGCAGGTGCCAAGAGGATGGTGCCAGGCTCTTTACAGTGGCGCCCAGCGGCAGGACGAGGAGCAGTGGCCATAAATTAAAACACGAAGTTCCACCTCAGCATGAGGAACAACTTCTCTGCACTGAGCGTGGCACAGCACTGGAGCGGGCTGCCCAGGGAAGGACGGTCACAGGTTCCCCCTCTCTGGGGACTCTCCAGGCCCATCCGGGCCGATCCCCTCAGGGCCCTTCCAAGCCCCGCCCGTCCCGTGGTCCCGCGCGCGCCCCCCGTGGCCTGACGCGCACGCCCCGCGCAGGCGCACGCGCGCCACGCCGTTCCCGGCCCGCCCCCCGCGCAGGCGCAGTGGCGGAGCGGGGCGCGCGCGGCGGGCGTTGTGCGGCAGCGGCGGCGGCGGCGGCGGCGCGGCCATGGCGGGGTCCGTGGGTTCCGCGGGCGGCTCGGCGCGGAAGCGCCTCATGAAGGAGGAGGACATGACCAAGGTGGAGTTCGAGACCAGCGAGGAGGTGGACGTGACGCCCACCTTCGACACCATGGGCCTGCGGGAGGACCTGCTGCGCGGCATCTACGCCTACGGTGGGCGGCGGGGCCGGAGGGGAAGGGCCGCGGGGCCGGGGGCGCGGGGCCGGGGCTCGGGCTGAGGGCTCGGAGCGGTGCGGGGGCCGCGGCGGGGCCCGGATGTGCGGCCGGCCGCGCCTGCGCCCTGCGGCCCGGCCTGGCCCGGCCTGACGGTGTCTCTTGGCCCCGCAGGGTTCGAGAAGCCGTCGGCCATCCAGCAGCGAGCCATCAAGCAGATCATCAAGGGCAGGGACGTGATCGCCCAGTGAGTGCAGGGGGGATGTCGGGCACGTTCCCTGCCTTGAGGCTGGAAGCGGGATCGGCCTGGGCTGGTGCCTGGCGGGGTGTGGGGAATGACCTGAAATTGGTGTGACACGGGCACAGGTTGGCCAGAGCAGCTGTGGGTGTCCCATCCCTGGAAGTGCTCCAGGCCAGGCTGGATGGGGCTCTGGGCCATGCAGAGGTGGGAGGTGTCCCTTCCATGGCAGGGTGGGGGATGGAACTGGATGTTGTTTAATTCCCTTCCAGTTCAAACTACTTTGTGGTTTTATGGTGTGACAAGCAAGCAGTGAAATTGCCTAACTTGTTGTGATCCTCTGCCAGTTAATGCCAAAAGTTTGTTAGGGTTAGTTATTGTAAATAATATGTCTAGAGACAAAGAAGGATATGCATCCCACTGAAGAAATCCTTTCTTGGTCACCAGTGCAAATCACTGGCCTTGCAAATTGCATTGGTTTATCTGTCATTTACATGAAAAAAGTGTGTGTGTGGCAGATGGCAGAAAGTTAAAATGCTGGTCTGATAAGGAGTGAAGGTGCCAGAGCTGGGGACCCTGGAGTGTTCTGTCCCTGATGTTGCAGCTCTCAGAGCTGCCTGACAGCAGATCAGGCTCTGATCATAACAAACCTTTGTTGGCACTGTTGAGTTCTTTGCACTGAGTTGTGGGAGAGAGCAGAGGGGCGGAATGTGTTGGAATTGCCTGTGCTGTTTGTCCAGACATGCAGAGTATTCACCAAACATCTGTTTCTCAGGTCACAGTCGGGAACAGGGAAGACAGCAACATTCTCCATATCTGTTCTGCAATGCCTGGATATACAGGTAATCTCAGCAGCACGTGCTAAAAATAATTTTTACTAAATCACTGGTCTTCATCATGGAAATGTGTTAAGAGTGATTAAATGAAGTTTTACTTTGAAATCTTTTCATTATGGGCAGTGAACCTCAGACAGAATTCTGACTGAGAACTTCACCAGACTCTGTAACAATTGAACTGTTAAAGCCAGTCTGGTAAAATAAGTTCAGCTGATGTCTTGTAATGATAAAATTGTCTTTAACAGCTGACCTCTTTCACCTGTTAGGGCTAAGTTAATCTCTCAGCAAGCAGAATTGTCTTCAGACAGTCCCAATAGCATCATCAGCCTATCTGGTGATAGGTGATCTGATTCATTGCACAGAATCCAAGCTGGGTTTTTGACTGACAGCTGTTTGCCTCGTTCTGCTCAGGGGCATTGTGTCCATCCTGCAGTTTTGGGGTATAATTGGATGTGCAGATGCAGTTGAATAAAAGGGTGGTTCTCAGTGGGCTGGGATTGTTTCTCATCTGTCTGGGGACATAAAAATTAAGGTTTCATGTTCTAAGTGGAAAGGACAGCTTTTGATTTATTTCTGTGAAGTGCTTGTAATACTTTTAGAGGTGACCCTTCAAAGCTTTGTCTTGGAGTCCTTGAGCAATGCAAGGTGTTTATCTGAACCAAACAGAACTGAAGGGCTTGAAATTTGGTTCTATTTAGCAAGAAGTGTACACACCTTTTTTTTTTATTATTTAGCACAAAATTCTGTTCTAAATCCTTCAGCTGTGGCATTTCACAGCTTTGATTCTGTGAGCTCCATCACCTCTTGCATGCCTGTGGTTAATCCCTGTGATTCTGTGATTCCCTGCTCCAACCAGGTCCGTGAGACCCAAGCCCTGATCCTGGCGCCGACTCGCGAGCTGGCTGTGCAGATCCAGAAGGTAGGAGCACTGCACTCCTTGTCTGGGGAACCTTGCAAGGCCTGGGGCCGTGCTCTGGGCATTCTCTAGCAGAGCTCAAAGCAAACAAACACAGCTTCCACTTTTTCTTCTGTTCCTGAGGGAAATAAAAAGTATGATTTGATATAGGGCTGTTTGCTCCTTGGCATTATATTCATCGCTTTGGCAGACTGAGGTTTTGCAGGGCCTTGAGTTTTTAAGGCCAGCCTGTCTAAAGCAGTTGTGATCCCTGAGGACACGAATTCCTAGTGTTTTAAAGCCTGCTGTTGTGCAGGCTTGGGTAACAGAAATTAAAAAATCCTTGTGCTGACATCTCTTAGAAAAGCCCACGGCATGGCTGCACAGACCAGCCTCTCCTGACAGAGGCAGCCTGGGCAGAGCTGGGGCAGTGAATCCCTTCCCTTGTCCCCAACAGGGCCTTCTCGCCCTGGGAGACTACATGAACGTGCAGTGCCACGCCTGCATCGGGGGCACCAACGTGGGCGAGGACATCCGCAAGCTGGATTACGGGCAGCACGTGGTGGCTGGCACTCCTGGCAGGGTGTTTGGTAAGGAATCGTGGCGTTTATTGTAACACTGGTAATGTAACCTTGAGGGGAAGTGTAACAAGGTAACAACTTACTGCTCGTGTGCCTGGGAAAGACTGGGGGAAATCAGTGGTGATGGTATTTGCATTCTCTCTGTTTATGCTTTGATTTCCATTGCTGAGGTGACTGTTTATGTGGTGGCTTTGGAAAAAGGAGAAAGTATTACAGTCCCTGAGTCTTGAAGGAGATAGGAGCCAGGCCTGATGAATGGGCCCAGAATTAGGCCCACATTTTCTGTGTCCTGGTAGTTGCTCCATCTTTGTTAAATCAGTTGAACTCACAGCTGGTACCTTCTGGTTTCGCTGAAGGAAGAGTTTAACATTTACTGCTCATGCAGTTATCATAGGGGCAGTGTTGTCCTTCAGGCTCCCATCTTCTGGCTGTCTGAGGAACACACAGCACTTACACAAGCTCCTGTCACCGGGGGAACATGAACTGATCCCCACAAGTGGAAAAAAATCCACCAAAACTTAGCAGCTGCCGAGCTGGGCTGACTCTCAAACAGGATTTGTGGATTCTGTTGACATGAAGTTCACCTGGCATTTTGTGTTTCTCACATCTGTCCCTCCTCCACCAAAATGCCCTGACAGTGCTGGGGCTCACTTGCTTTCAGAGCATTCTCATCTCACAAAGTGAAATCTTGCAGATATGATTCGTCGCAGAAGTCTGAGAACTCGTGCCATCAAAATGCTGGTTTTGGATGAAGCAGATGAAATGCTCAATAAAGGTAAAACATTTGTCTCCCTTCTGCTTCCTTTCTCCTTGCTTCTTTGAGATTCTAGGGTGTCCCAGCTGGCAGGCCCACTTATAAAAAGTTAAAGTTTGAAAAGTTAGACTATTGCAGTTAGTTATAGGCTGGTTAAGGCATACAATGAGCCTTGTCTGATGTTACCAATTCACACATTTATGTTCATCCCATAGTATAGACCCAGTACTGAATTCCAGATCAGATTGTGAAGAGGAGGGTATTTGGGAGAGGGATGTGCTAACTGTTGTGTGTGGCTTGACTTGCACTGCAGGCTTCAAGGAGCAGATTTATGATGTGTACAGATACCTGCCTCCAGCCACACAGGTGGTCCTGATCAGCGCCACTTTGCCGCATGAAATCTTGGAGATGACCAACAAGTTCATGACAGACCCCATCCGCATCCTGGTGAAACGGTCAGTGAGTTTCCTTGGAGAGAGCAGGGACTCTGAGCTGGTGCAGCCCTGGGCAGGTCACAGTGTCACTGATCTAAATGTACAGGGAGTCTCTGTGTTCCTTCTCATTGTTCCTGAGTGTCCACAGATGTGCTCATGTCCTGTTTCCCAGCAGGGGCTGGCTTATCTCCCTGACTTCATCCTTGTCCAGTTCTGTGTGCTGCTGCTCAGCACAGGACATTCTCTCACCCCTAAGGGAATGAGTCCCCTCACTCTCCCCATGGATAGCAGTCTCTCCTCATGGAAATCTGTCCTTCACACTTATCCAGTTCCTGGGCTCCCCCAGAGGATTTCTTCAGGCTTCCTGTTAAAATTTCCTATTACACAGCAGGCAAA